CTCTCTCTCTCTCTCTCTCTCTCTCTCTCTCTCTCTCTCTCTCTCTCGAAAAAGAGTTGATGGATGGCTCCTTTTATTTCTAAAAACACATCTGTGAGCTTCCACTGCTCACAGTGGCTTTGCCAGTCGCTGTTCTTGCAAATTAGGGGTCTAAATAATTTGTGTAATTTATGAAAATCAATCTCAATGTGAATGTCAGCGCTGATGTTCTGCATTTCCAAGATGCTAAAACTCATTTCCATCATGATCCACATTCAATTTCCCTTTCTGCTTTTTGCATAACCTTCTTTGAAATGACTGCACAAGAGAACAAATGACACTGTCACATAGTCTTTTTGTAGCGGAAGCCCAGAGCCTGGGAGCAGTGTGCATTAAGCAGCATGCAGTCACGATGCTTGATCGAGCATTGGACCAGAGGGAATGAGAGCGGAGATTATCGGGCTCCTGAGCAAGCCAGCTGCCACTGGAGCTGTGTGGGCAACACTACAACCTGTCCCTTGCTTTTTATCTCTCCGCCTCTTTCATGGTCACCCTCATTAAGCAGCACTGTCGGCAAATACTTCTTTGCCCGGGCACTGTCAGCGGTACAGAGAACTGACGAGGCTTCTGCAAGCCAGTTATCGCCGATGCTCAAAGCAAAGAAATCTGCTCTCAATGTGTCCAATGCTGCACACTGACTGGTGTGTTTACTCGGATGTGTGAGAAAAATCACATCAAATGTGAACACAGTCGTGCTAAAAAACAACTCATTTATTTACAGCGCTGGGCTTCACAGATACAGGGTCAATGACTGACGCCATCTTTAGAGCTGTGTGAGTCATAATAGACTGAAATTATATTTTGTACATATTGAAATATAATGATTTACGATATCTTAAAATACAGCTACGTAAAAACTAGACAGAGTCTAAAGTCATCCTAATGATAATGCTAACATGTAGCAGGTATAAAGTTTAGCATGTTAACCATCTTCTTTGAGCATGTTAGCAGACTAAGATTCTGTAATTAGCACAACATCGTGAGTTCTGGAGAAATTGAAATGATGGTGCTAGAGGGAAAAGTCATTTATTACAATTCATTCTGAGGGGGAAATGAATGTCAATGTTCATGACAATTCATTCAATAGTTGTTGAAGTATTTCAGTCAGAAATACAGCCTCATTGTGGTGCTAGATGAAAAGACAAGAGGATCACCAAAGTCGTTAGGATTCATCCTCTGGGGAACATGAATGTCTGTACAAAATGTCATGGAAATGCAAAAAGTGTATGTTGAGATATACAGTACGTCTGGACAAAATCCCTACAAGCATTCCGCTTGCGTGGCTGAAAATGTAAAATACTGTATCTGCTATAAATGCAAAGCAAGTTCACTTCACAATGTATAATTAATGCACATCTACAGCAACAGTCTAGTGTTATATCTATCTATTCATTATGTATTCAGCCTAATGTTTCAGTAGGCAAAACCCTGCCCCCACACTAAAATGTAATCTCGAATATCGTTTGGCCGAGGCTACAGACCAGACAAACACCAGTCGAGGTACTCGCTTAAATCATGAAAACGATTTCAATTTTGGAAGTCGCCAAAGAGCAAAATGGCCTTCAATAATTGTTCAAAGGTTTTTGTTTCGCTCAAATAGCTTTTATGTAAAAACAGAAAAAAACAAAGAAAGAAAGAAAGTGCAGCCTGTTGCTTCATGCGTCGGTCCTCTCAAAACTGGAAAAACAGCACACAAAAAAGTCTGACTTTAAATACATATTATATATTTCTGATAGTTCTTGGAAGTATTGTTATACATATTTCCTGAAACTGACGGTAAATAAGTAGATATGTTCCTCGCCGCCTCGTGTGGTTTCTCAAACTAAAGAATCACATGAACACCGACAGCCACAACATCCTGGTTCAAAGTCTAATTGGCTGAGCAGACTTTCTGGGAACAAAACTCGGCTCAGCAGCGTACGACAAAAATCCCTTTTAATGCGTTTCCACACACACACACACACACACACACACACACCTCTGTGTCTAATGCGGCAGCAGCAGAATTAGCAACATAGAAAGAGCTTCTCCTCAAAAAAGGTGATATCCGTTTATCGCCTGCTGGTTTCATCAGATCTTTTTTTAGGTTACACATGATAAAATCCAACAGGACATCAAGACAACACAAATCCCAAGACGTCCGCTAT